GAAGGCACCGACGCCTCGAACGGCAACGCCATAGCTCCGAGGTGTCAGATATCGCTCGAATGGGCCAGGTGGAATGACACGCGGCTCCCTTACACAATTTCTACCTGGGTTATTCCATAAACATATGCCCGCGATGAGCACGCCAAGGCGCCTGACATCCAACCCGGCCAGCGCCACCCGCCTCTCACCAGAGTCTAGACCGGAACAATAGACGCCACAGACAATACCGCTGATCCTTCACCCATGGCGTGCGCAGCTCCCCGGTCACCCGTGAGACACGATCGCACCCTTTCTCCATCGTGTCATTCCGTCTCAGAACTTGGGCTTGAAAGGAATGGTGTTCAAAAACTCCCTCACGTTGCCCGTAATCTCCAGCAGCTGGAACAGCCACTGCAAAATGATGCCGAACGATTCCGGCTCGCCCATGTGCTTGATCCCGGGCACGAACCTGGGTTGCCAGACGCCAGCCAGCCCTGTCAGCAGGAGAAATTTCCGCCCCACTCACGCTCGAGGCGAGACGGCCGTGCTTACCTGGCTTCCTTGGGGCTCCCATGCTGAAGGCACAGGTAGTAGTCGTCGATCGGGAAGATCTCGTCCTCGGTACCGTTGACGAGCAGCAACTTGGCGCAGGGTTTATCAAGCGTGCCGTCGTTGAGAAGCGAGAACGTGCCCATGGCTTCGTCCTTGAAGCGCTGCAGATCGTTCTCATACCCGAATTTGTGCGCCAGGGTGTGCGCGAGGCTTGCATTTCAGGGTCAGCGGTCAGCGGAAGTTTTCGTCCCGACCCGAGGCACACACATCGCGGACTCACTCAAACGGATACTCGAGCGAGTTGACGCAGTCAAGCCAGTCCGGGTCAAACATGTAGTGACACCCGCCGCCCAGCGCCACCACGCCCTTGAGCTTGTCGGCGTGCGTGTGCGCCAGCCGGATGGAGTAGTAACCTCCGGTGCTGAAGCCCCAGTTGACGACCTTGGCCTGGTTGATGGCCTTCTGCTCAGCCACCCAGTCGAAAAGGCTGCTCCAGACCCTATCCGGGCTCTCCGGGTCAGACTTCAGCCCCGGGTTATCGCCCGTTCCGGGAATCTCCACCACCAGCGTCGCGCAGATGAGTTGCCGCCACCCTTCCTTCCAGACCGCCAGCTCGGTGCGATACCCGTCGAGGCCGGTGAAGATGATGATAAGCGGCACGGGGGCGTACTTGGAGGCGTGTTTTGGGAGGTGGTAAAAGGCCGGCAGGACGGAGCCGTCGCCGGGCTTAGCGTGCTTTACGTGTGGGATCTCGACGGGCACCATGGGGAACTCGTGCAGGCTGCGACGAGATTGGAATGTCAGTTGCATGATCTCGCGGCATTTCCTCGAGGACAGATCTTCACCTACCCGAGGCCTTTTACGGCGGCCTCTTTGCCCTTTTCCCATGCCACCCGCTGCTGCTTCGACCTTGGGGCAGGGAACCGAGCAATACGGTACACGGCCGATGCTCGCCTGCCATTCCAAGTCAGCAACCCAGATCTAACAGCGAGCCAGGAATGGCGCCTGCCTACAGGTAGTACTCGGACGCCCTCTCTCGCTCTCCAGCTTCCTCTGCTTTCTTGGCAGTGTTGGCAAGGCTCTCTGCCTTGGAGAAGAAGCACTGGGCGTACTCGTCCCAGTCATATGGCTCTTTTAGCCCTTTCTGTTATTCCGCGACCATTAGTGTTGAGCAGCGAGCATCCCAAACAGGGGTTGGGGTACCGACCTTGATGATGTCGTCAACCACGGGCTGGAAGTCGACTATGGCACCAAACATAAAAGGATAAATTCCCCTTTCGCACTGTTTTCCGCCCATATTAGCCCCGTATCGATCAGTAGCATCTCAGGTTAGGCCTCAACATACCGCTGTCTTCCATTTTGTCTCCCACAACGCCTCGAAGCTGGAATGGTGGGACGCCGTGCTGCTTTTGGAGAGGGTATCATGGATGAAAAATCTGCCGCCCGGTGCCGCCATTTTGTCGTTCGTGTGGGCGTGTATGGACAAGACACATGTAACCCAGTTGTGGCTGCGGGTTTCGCCCGGTTATATGGGCGAAATTCCCACCACGGAGCGAACGGTGGTCCGAACCGGACTCGGGGGTGGGGGAGCGCCGATCCGGCGAACCGGCCACCACATGGGCGGCGCCGATGTGTTGTGATTAGGTCAAGGGCGTGGCTAAGGCCGCGCCTTGGGTTTGCCTCTAGGCGGGTACAGTGGCCGGTTAGGCAAAAATCCCTTTCTGTACCGTGGCGTAACAAAGTTGACAAGATTAGCTTGGAAAAAGTTCAATCTATTGATAATCTTATAGGGCCTTAAGGAAATGCTCCAGGAAGCGGAATCTCCTCCAAGGATTCATTCGAAAGGCGCCATTTATATAAGCCTTAAGGTAGCTGTGCAAAGTCCCAAGGTACGTATTTAGTTGAGGGGTTGGGGGCCGAATCCCTAGCCGAGCCTCCAACCGGCGGCTAACCGCCGGAAATGGCCCACCACAAGGCGCCTTGCTATCACGGCCTCCATATAGGCCTCCAGGCGACCAATAGGCCGGCCTACCACGAGCTAGAGGGGTCAATCCCCGTGTGACACGTAGGTAGATCGGTGTAAACAAACCCAATGTGCAGGTAACTCCCCGCCTCTCAAACGAACACACAGCGACCACGAGCTCCATCATTCACATTTGACGGCGACCTAAATGCTCCTCGCGGATACGCCCTAACAGCCTCGCACAAGCACCATTCATGGGCCCCCATGGCCACACTAATTCGGTCACAGTCCGTGCCCGACCTCGATAGGGCCAGCGATACATCCCTCCTAGATCACAAGGGCCAACCCTCCAGCTGCGCATACTGCTACTCTCCTCTGTCGCAGCCGGACAACGTCCGCCTGCTTCGCCTCATGCCGCACGCGGACAGGCACGCCCCAATCCGCTGCCAGCTCCTCGAGTACCCCCTGCAGGAAACCGCCCAGGCGACACATCTCTACGAGGCTCTGTCGTATGTATGGGGATCTGTCGGCAACAGGCTGCCTATTTACATCCGGACAGACGACGACGACAAAAACGGGACACCTCGCGCTTCTCGGTCCACCAACAGTGACCAATACCTGCTCGTCACGACAAACCTTCACGCGGCCCTGACTCATCTCCGGGACGGCTTCCTCGAGCGGATAATTTGGATAGACGCCGTCTGCATCAATCAACAAGACGGTGTCGAAAAGGGACGCCAGGTCCAGTCGATGGCTCGGATTTACGCTAGCGCTAGCCGTGTCGTTGTCTGGCTGGGGGAGGCGGCAGACGGGAGCGACCGAGCGCTGGAGGCGCTACGTCAGGCTGCTGGAGAACAAGAGGCGGCATATCGTCGCGAACTAGCGCTTGAAACTCTGCGCAGGGTTTCCAGGCAGGAGGCAAAGCTTCCCATTAAGAGATTCGAAGCATACAACGGCTTCGTCTCCCAAGCGACCAAAGACCTTTTAGAGGCCGGCAGCGCAGCAGACGTAGCTGTTACCCTTGATGAGCCGACCCAGCAAGCCATCTTTGCTCTACTTGAGCGGCCATGGTTTGGGCGCATCTGGGTATGCAGCCGCTTGAAAATGACTGTCAATACGAACAGCGCGCTAACAGATCGGCCCAGGTTCTTCAAGAGGTTGCCGCCGCTCGATATCTCTTGGTGAAATGTGGCGTTTCAACGGTCGACGGGACTACATTCTCCCTTGGCCTCGACGCAGCGCAGCTTTCTTATGAAGGGCACCCCGCCCTCCACAGATTAATCCCTCCTCTCATCCGTCTCATACAAGGCGCGGCCTCCAGGCCACAGTGCGCAACAATCATGCCCCAAACCAGCCTCTCGCGTCCATTTTCTCTCAACATCTGTTCTATCGGTGAACTGGTTGACAGATTTCGCACCCGCAAGGCGACTAACCCTCTCGACAGGGTGTACGCCCTGCTCGGAATGAGCCGCGAGGGCCCAGGGATGCTGACAGTCGACTACGCAGAGTCGTGGGAAAATCTGGTTCTAAAGCTGGTCAGACTCGCTCTATCGGATCGGATGGCCGTGGAAACGTGGGGTGGGCGGGCCTTGGGGGTGATTCGAGGCAAAGGACGGATGCTTGGCCTCGTTTCCTATACGGAGTTCCGAGGCGATAGCCAGAGGATAAAGATCTCCTGGAAGAACGAATTTCCCTTTAGAGCATTGCCCTCCGGTCCTTACATCCTCCAGCCATCGACAAACCCTGTCCAAAGGAAGGATCGGCTGGTTCTTCTCCAAGGAGCATCGGAATCAACCATTATAAGAGTCCGCGAAGGCTACTCAGAAGTCATCCGAATTGCAGTTCCTCTCGGAAACGGGAATGATCATTACGCTGCTAGGCTTCGGTCGAACGCGGTGTTCCCCATGAGCCTACTGCTGGTTTGGGACTTGGACAGGCCTGAAATCGGCGCAGAAGATCCAGACTACGAGCCTCTGATGAAAGACCAAGAGCCTGACGAAAAGGAGCTATTCGGCATGGCAGCAAAGATGTGGAATTTTGGGAATTTGTTGAACGAGGTGGGTGACTGCGACAAGGCGAAACCAATGATCCAGGCAGCGCTCGAGGCGTATCGGACGTTCAGTCAAGGCATAAGGGATCAACTGGGCCACAAAGATCCGGCCGAACTTGACCAGAAACTCCGACCACCGCCCAGCCACAACTCAGCTGTCGGCCCACGACATCGGCTCAAGAACCCTCGCGATCAAATACCACTACTGTTGGCCGCCAAGAACGGGGATGCGGCCGCCGCAGCACTGCTGCTCGATGAAGGGGCCGGTATCGAGTCGACAAACGGCCGGGACCTACGGACGGCGCTATCGTGGGCCGCGGGGCACGGGAGCGGTGCCCTGGTTCGCCTACTTCTCGACAGTGGCGCGGTCATCGAGGCCGGGGACATCGGCGGCTGGACGCCACTGCACTGGGCCATCTTTTACGGTCACGAGGCCGTGGTGGAGCTGCTACTCGACAGGGGCGCCAACGTCGAGGCCAAGGGCTTCATGAACTGGACGCCGCTGCACCTCGCCGCCGAGAACGGGCACGGGTCGCTCGTTAGTCTGCTAGGCGCTAGGGGCGGCGTGGAGGCCGAGGCTGAGTTCGGGAGCAGGCCGCTGCACCTGGCTGCGATGAACGGCCACGAGACGGTTGTGAAACTATTGGTCAAGGAGCTGGGCGCCGAAAAGACGGCAAAGGACGAAGAGGGACTCACGCCGACGGAACTGGCCATCAAGAACGGACACGAAGCGGTAGTGAGGCTGCTGCTCCTGGAGGCGAGTACCGAGGCAGATGCGGGTGCCGTCCTCCCTCTTCAATATGGCACCCACACACCATTGCTCTCTTACAAGCCCGAGACGCCTCTGCACCTTGCAGCTCAGTCTGGTCAGGAAACGGTGGTGAGGTTATTAGCCGGGGAACAGGGGGCAGACAAGGAGGCGAAGGGCCCCTCGGACCGCACCCCGCTGCATCTGGCCGCCATGAACGGGCACGTGGCGGTCGTCAGGGTGCTGATCGAGCTTGGCGCGAACAAGCACGTCGTGGCCGATTTCGGTGAATCTGTGCTGCACTCTGCTGCGGCGCACGGGCACGAGGCAGTGGTGAGGCTGCTGGTCGCCGAGTGTGGGCTTGATGTGGATTTAGTTAACTCTCGGGGGAAAGTGGCGTTGCACGAAGCTGCTGGGAGCGGACACGAGGCAGTGGTACGAACACTGCTCGCGCTGGGTGCTAACCGGCACGCAGCAACTGAAGAGGGAGATACAGCGCTGCACGAAGCGACGAAAGCTGGGCACGTGGAGATTGTGAGGCTGCTTGCCGTGAAGTTTGGGCTAGATCTGGATGCCGTGGGAGCTTTGGGTCAACGGCCACTGCACTACGCCGCTTTCGCTACAAGCAGGACAGAGGAAGTAACAAGACTGCTTGTGGAACTAGGGGCGGACAAAAGCGCCAGAGATGTGCAGTGCAGGACGCCGCGCGACGTGGCCTCGATTGTGCCCCGCGAAAACATAATCAGCCTCTTGTCGCCTGACACCGACGGTCAAGATACAGAACGGCATGCCTGCCATCGCTGCCAGCGCGAGACTGATAAGGAGTTGGAGGCGCTGAAAGACCAGGTCATTAAAAATGGGGAGGGGTGGGAAAAGCTATGGCTGTATTAAAAACGTGATTAATCTATATAGCAGCAGATGGCGAAGCCTCGACATACAAATCATGCCTTCGTAAACTCGTCAATCATATGCGATTGGCAACGGACCAGAGTCTCAACCATCTTGGCCACCTCGTCCAGGCGGGATAGAATCACCTGATTACCCTCGACAAAGCCGTAGATGTGATACGTCAGGCCCGTCTTGAGGCAGAACTCGCGCAGCAGAGCCTGCCCCTTGCGCAGGTTGTGACGGGGCATGCGGGGGAACAGATGGTGCACGGCCTGGAACTGCAGGCCGCCGTGCAGCCAGTCGAGCCACTCGGGGCAGTCCACATCCATGGTGGTGCGCATCTGGCGCGAAACGAAGGACTCTGTGGGGCCGAGATCGGCAGTCGACATGCCCCAGTGGGACAGAGTGATCTGGACGTGGATCAGAAGGGTGATGGCGTGCGATAGCATGACGAACGCGATGCGAGTGGGCCAGTCGGGGAGCGTGCGCCAGACGAGGAGGTAGCCGAACATGAACCAGTAACAGGCCATGAAGATCACTTCCATCTGGCGATGCCAGAACGGGGCGCCAGACTCCTTTGCGCGCGAGCTGAACACAACGTGGCCCCAGGACAGGAAGTACAGGTTGAAACGGGCGACGGCCATGATGGGATAGTAGGTGAACTTCTGGAAAGGGACCAGCAGCTCGCAAGTCTTGTCCCACAAGAAGTCGAACTGGTAGTAGGTGCTGCGGACAGAGCGGAAGAAAGTCGGCGACCAGGCGAAAAGCGGGAGGTACTGTGAGTCGGGATCGTGCTCAGGCATGTTAGTGACCAAGTGGTGGACATTATGGGAGCTCTTCCACCAGCCGAAGGAAAGGCCGCAGCAGAAGTCGGCGATGAAGGTGCCGATTATGGTGTCCTTGGTGACAGAGCCTGTGATGCCGCGGTGACCAGCGTCGTGGGCAGTGAACATGATTTGATGCTACGGGAGGATTACTGTCAGTTTGCGGTCTCCTGATATAGTTATGATGACGATGGGAGCAGAAAAGACCTACCCAAAACATGCCGAGAAAGATGGCAGAGATCAAATACCAGCCCGTGCAGAGCAGATACATAAAGATCGCAAAGAGAGTGAGATAGCGCGTCAACTCCTTGCCATATTCGATGTAAGGGCACTCGTACAGGCCCAGGGCCTTGACCTGGTCATGGAGGGCATTGTAGTCGGCACGGATAGCCTGCTGGGTCGCGAGGTCGAGCGATGGGATGCTGTTGATGTCATCCTGGCGCTCTTTTTCCTCCATGGCAACCGTGAATTCCTCCCTCGACATGTATTCGCCGATGATGCCCGACGCCGAGGGCTCGGGCTTGCCCTTGCCGGAGCGGAGCTTGCAGGGGCTCGGATCGGCCGCATTCTTGCCTCCAGCTAACCCAGCCTTGACCTCTTCGATGTAGGTTTTGGACTCTATCTGGATGGGCGGGATCAAGTTGAGCCAGGGCAGGTCGACAGAACCAATGGAGAAGGCCTTCATAGTCTTGAGCGTCTTGTCCGTATGGTAACTGTGAGAGACACCGTGGTCAGCACTTTACGTACGCAGGGCGCGGCGTGGTCCAATCCGAAACGACAATGCCAGATAAGCGAGCGGGAGCTGGAGACATACATGTTGATTTCGTCGCTGGCATCGCGACCGACCATGTGCATGATGGCCAGGCGACCACCTGGGTGTTTGTCAATCCATTTGTCGAGCTTTAGGGCTTGACCTTCGTGGATCACGATGAGGTGGCCCTGATCAATGAGTTGCTGGGCCTCGGTCGGCGAGACCTTTTTCGCGGCGCGCTTCTCGTCCATGCTGTCTCTTCCGGTGGCTGCTGGGGCCGGCGATGGAGGTGCTGCTGGGCTCGTTTTGGCCCGTCGGGTATTTGCTACCGGAGAAAGTCGGCCGCGATGTCAACAAGCAGAAAGCCGTGCGGCGTTGGTGACGTCGTGGGGGCTTCTTGGCCCAGGCAGGCGAGCAAGCAGCACGATCCGTCGAAGGTCGAGCGCTCGCAGCAGATGGGGGACAACGAGCTCTCGGCTTGGGAAGCGAGCGGGTTGGGAGAGCAGAAGAAAAGCTCGTGAAACCGGATGGGTAAAGAAGAACCTAGGTAGTGGCTGGAGGAGTGGACATGGACGGGAGGACGTGCCAGAGAGATGTGGCTTCCCGACGCCACGGGTTCGTCTCCCCCTTTCTGACTACGCGCAACAGAGTTGCGCGAAATTAACCTCGGGTTAGAGATCCATTTCTCCCCATACCCCCTGCAGCAATGGCCCTCTTTTTCCCGGTTTGGCTTTTGCTGTCTTGGCTGGGCCAGCCATGGCGAGCAGAGACAAGTCGACGGCGCCAATTCGCGGCCATTTCTTTTCCTTGCTGTTGCAGTTCCAGCCAGGCCCGTCCGTGTCTGTCTGGGGCCGGGGCCACGTCCCGAGTGTGGACAAAGCGTGCGGAGAAACAGGGCAGGCGGTCGAGTCTGGCCAGTGCGCGTTAGCGGGGCCAGGCGGGGAGGAAAGATTGAGGGACGACAAAATGGGAGAGAGAGGAGAGGCTCAAAGGAGGGCCCCGTAGAATTGCGGGCTTTGGCCCACCTCTTCTGATTCGGGCGCCACCAAGAAACGCGTCGACCAGTCGTGGTGCGAGTCAAACGCTACATCGCACCATCTATCAATTGATCATTGGTATTTTTCCGTTGGTTCGGTGGCAGACACAGCCCACCACGCCATCAATCAACATTGCTCCAGGCCGTGTTGGTGGTCGATAGTCCGTCCTGGTGGTGCGGGCAAATCTGCTACAGGTCTGCAGGCCACAAAATCTCACACTTGCCCGCCAGCTTGGCTGGCCCGTTGGTCCAATTGCTAGCTTGCCATTTGCGGGTTAGATTGATCTGGCCCCTTGCAGCGGCTCATTCCTTCGGAGAGGAGGGCTGAGGGGCAGCCAGGGGGGCACAACGCAGAAGAAAAGGAGAGCAGCGCCACGGAAAATAGGGGTCCTAGGTTTGGCCCCCATCTCGCCCACCGCTGCGTTCTGGAACACACAACAGTGACAGGCGCCTGGTTGGACAACAAGCACCAGGATGGGCCGGACTTTGGCCGAATACGGAGTAGCCTTGGGAGGTCGCTGCAAGATTCCATCATATTTGGTGGGGCGGGCACACCCGAAGCGGGCAATCCAGCCGTTCAACAAAACGCGTGCCAGGCGGGCGCGCCACCATGGTTTTTCGGCCAGTGTTTGCCTCCATGTGAAAGCAGCAATTTCAAAATTCCCATCCCAGCTGCGCCCTTCGAACCACCCGCCAGAGCCAGCGCCTGCATGGACGCTGCAGTCGGTCGCCCCACCAACACAGAAGATTGAACAAAATCAAAACGGACGTTTGTGTTGGCTATTGACAAGTGCTGGCCTGTCCACGTCGCCACCCCCTGCGCACAAACAGGCAGTGACTGCTGTCCATGACAATCGCAATCCTACCATCGGCCCACTGACGGAATCGTCCCACGGCATCTTCACCGACTGACTGTATGCAGGCAGGCAGGGTCCAGGCTCTGCCCATGCATTGGCTTGTGCAAGAAGCAGCGCTAGACAGCAAGCCGCCGCCGAAAGCATGCAGCCAACACGCACAGCCTGCGGCCCCGTTTCGCGGTCTGCAACGCCGACAACTGCATATCGGGGCCGAGCCTATTCGTCGCCCCTGCCGCCACCTGACTGGCCTGTCTGTGCTGCCGAGCTGACCTGCTGTGCCGCTGGCGGCCAGGGATAGCTCGTCCCTTGCGTATCGTCAGACGGGAGAAACGGGGGCGTATTCAGGCCCGACGGCTACGGAGAGCTTCGACACACCGACGGCGTTGGTGAGAATCTTGTCCACCGCAGCGAGAGTGGTGTGAAGTCGCTAGGACTCTCTGGGTGCCGTCTTCTCGGTTCCGAATGACGGAAGAGCAAGGCTGTCACTCGATCCAAAGCTCCTTGATGGGGGTCGCCAAGGCCTGCAGCCAATGCCGTGCGCGTAAAGGCAAACGCATCGCTCCAGTCGACGACGGGCCTCATGCCTGCGCTCCATGTACCAGGCGCGGTATTTTGTTCTCATTCGTCGCCAGAGGCACTGCGTCGCGCCCGCGACTCCTTGCCGCCGCCGATAGCACCTCTCAGTCGTCGTCGCCCTCGGTAACATCTAACTCCGGCGCCAGTACCGTTGCCCCTGGCTTGAACCTGAGCCTGGCGTCTCAGCTTGAGCTGGTTCAACTCTACCTTCAACTGATCCACGACAAGCCGCATACTCTTTTTCACCCAACGTCGTTGCTACAACAGGTGCGCGATGGTGCGGTTCCGGGTCAGCTCCTGCTAGGCATAGTTGCCATGGCCGTTCCCTTTTCCCCATGCCCAACCGTTGGGTTCAAGCCACCAGGTTTGTCGAAGCGGTCAAGGCCGCCCTCAATGCCGTCATGGAAGCCATGTCCCTCGCCAATGTCCATGCCGCTATCCTGCTGAGAAACCTCTGCGGAGCCCACGGACGTCCCGATGCCGAGATGCCATATTTTGGAATCGCTCTTCGAATCGCCCAGATCATCCGGCTGCCCGCTTCCGCTGCCTCTGACGGCCCCATTGAGTGTGAGGCAAAACTGTGGACGTGGCGGAGTATTACATGATAGACAGATGGTCTTCCGCTGGCACCGACATCCGTCGCCAGCTCCCCGACGCCAGCATATATCCCTTGCCCATGGAAGAGCTACAATTCTATGCCCTCTCCAGGTCTTCTCAAGGGCACCCACCTGCCTCCGACCCTATTTCATACTCCAGACCTGGCCTTTGAGGCCGAATGGTTCAGCTAGCCGATATTTTTGGTGCCGTGGGCGACCTCCATAAAAGCTATGTCGAGGGCATCGTCGACAATGAGCAGCTGTCGGCACTGCTAGACGCATGGGTCACTGAACTACCGTCCAATTTAACCCCGACGCCTGACAATGTTGCGCGCCACGCTCGTAATGGTCTGGGTTCGGCCTTTGTTGCGCTGCACCTTGGACATCATCACTATGCGACTCTTCTGTATTTTCCCTTATCTCGATCTCCAGCTCGAGGGGACGGAGCGCCAAGTTTTATTTTCGGCCAGTTGTCGCGAGCACGCAGCCACCTTCAGCGACCTGCTGCTACTTTCGGACACGACCCAGGGCTGCGGCGCTGTGCACCTTGTCGTTGCTCACATGGCCACCCTCTCCTCGGCAGCGTTGCTACATGTGTTGCTCTTCGGCTCTGAAGCAGAGTTGCCACAGACCCGAGCGCGACTCGAGGTCAACTTCAAACACCTCATCCGCCTCTGGCGTTATTGGCCTGCCGTCGACCTCATGATGGAGCGACTGTTCACGTTCCAGCGCGCATGCATGTCCTCAGCGGACCCAAACACGCATAAGGTCGACCTATGGATGGCCGAATTCCTCCTCCAGCACGCACTGCCGATTGCCGACAAGATCCCTCCGGTCAGGGAAGGGGTCGGTCCCGGTGGCCTCATGGAACGTGATATCTTCGCAAACGATGCATTGTCCATGCTGCATCCTTGATACAATTTGCTGGAGAATGTGAAGATTCTTTGCCTGATGGCCACCCGCCTGTCACTACCTATATAAGGGCCACCACTAAACCGCACCTCATGCACTCAATAGTGCCCCTTCACGTTGCCAGCAACCTCGGTCAGACTTCGGCGCGCTCCGCCTCGGCGTCCCCCGTCTTCACCTTAGGCTTTGTCCGGCTTTGGCCACTTTGGCATTCTTGCCATCAAACAGCTCTGCGATCTCCTCCAGCGTCGGACCTTTTATCTCGACAAAGAGTAAACAAACGCAGAGGACCTCGATGACGAGGATGGCGACGTAAAAGAAGTAGTAGCGCCACTGAAGAGCTTCGAGGCCAATGGTGTTTACGTACTGATTGAAGACGCTGAAGAGCGCAGCCAGGGCGAAGCCTATGGACATGCCCTTGGCGCGGATGGTGAAGGGCAGGATCCCGGCCACACAGGTGACAGTCAGGCCGGGCCACGCGAAGCTGGCAACGCCGTAAAATAGGAAGATCATGGTGATGACGGTGCTCCCGTCCTCCTTGCTCTGCGCCCTCTCGTAGTAGGCCGAGCATGCGGCCCAAATGCTAATGGTCACCAGCATACCCATGCCGGCGATCAGGAACAGGGTCTTGCGGCCGAGGGAGTCGACCAGGGAGACGGAGAAGCCGATGGCCACCAGGAAGCTCCATATCTGCAGCCCGCCGTTGATCAGGCTCTGCTCGTAGCTGTCTCGGATCTCGACGATGAGGAGGAGGGCCGAGCTTCCACAAAAACCAGGTCCTAGAGTCTCGTTCTATCGTCAATGTCCCGAGTTTAGGGGATCGACTGCGCCGTTTTACTCTTTCGTGTTTTCATGCAATTGTTCGCCGGGACCCTTCTTCCCAAAGCCGTCGGAACTAGCAACATGGCGCCCGTCGACACGAGCATCCCCCGTTTGGTCGAGACCAATGGGTCCAAGCAGCTCATGATCAAGGGGAAGCCGTTCCTCATACTCGCGGGCGAGCTGCAGAACTCGTCGCTGACCTCGGCCGAGTCTGGAGGACGTGTGGCCGCAGATGAAGGCCTCGCACTTCAACACGCTTCTGGGATGCGTGACGTGGGAGATGGTGGAGAGCGAGGAGGACAAGTTCGACTTTGCCGAGCTCGACAAAGTGATTATGGGGGCCAGGAGGCATGGCATCCACTTGGTGCTGTTGTGGTTTGGCTCCTTCAAAAAGGGTAAGCCAAAACTTACTGTGCTCACAAGTACGGGATATAAAAGACATACTAACAAGACCCTTGGCGCGATGACAGGCATCTCTACGTATGCTCCCGCGTGAGCCAAGACGGACCCCAAGAGGTTCACGAGGGCAAAGCTCCGCAAAGCCGGCGGCGTTCTCGAAACGGCCGACGTCGTGTCCATATTCCACCCGGCAACGGGGGCGGCGGACAAGAAGGCCTTTGGCAAGCTGCTCGTGCACATTAAGGAAGTGAACGAGGCGCACTAGACAGTGGTGGTGGTGTAGGTGGAAAACGAGACGGGCTTTCTGGGAAATTCGCGCGACGGCAGCGTGCATGCCGGCAAGGTGTTCAACGAGCCCGTCCCCGCAGACCTGGTGGACTTTCTTCGGTCCGACTGGGACAATCTCAACGCCGAGATTAAGAGGCAGAATCTTGGCTTCTTCAAGTCCCAGTTGGGCCGGTTGGGCGACGGGACCTCGCCCAGTGGCACGTGGGTGGGGGTGTTTGGCCGCAGCCCCAAAACCGACGAATTCTTCATGGCCTACCACTGCGCGCACTACCTGGACGACGTGGCGTCGGCGGGCAAGGCCTCGTACCCACTACCCATGTACGCCAACGTGTGGCAGAACTACAACGACCTCGACACGGCCGACAACTGTTGGCTCGTCGTGGTGGGCGGCGGTGGCGGCGACCCGGGCACAGCAACGTGCTCTACGTGTGGTTGCGCTTCGGGCGCAGCCTCGACTTTGTCGCGCCCGACGTCTACCTCAACGACTACGAGGCCTCGTGCGCCGCCTACCGCCACCGCGGCTAGCCGCTCTTCATCCCCCGAGCAGCGGCGCGACGAGTACGGCGCGCGCCGCATCTGGGCCGCCTACGGGAGCCACGGCTGCATGGGCACGGCGCCCTTTGGCTGCGACACGCTGGGGCCGGGCGACGAGAACCCCTTTACACGGCACTACGAGCTGCTCGAGTCGGTGGCGCCGCTCGTGCTCGAGGCGCAGCGTAGCCCCGGACCGTCGCTCGGCTTCTTCTTTGACGAGCTGCCGCCGGCGGACGCTGACGGGGCACCAGCCGCCGGACCCGAGCAGGCCGATGGTCAAACACTGGGGCGGGTACGAGGTCACGATCGAGCGGTGCTTCGTGTTTGGGCGGCCGGGCGACGGGGCGGGCATGGGGGTGCACCGGGGCGGCGGCCGGTTCCTGCTGATCGGGTACGGGTTCCAGGTGCGGGCGCGGGCGACGTCGGCGCGGGCTACATTCACGGGGATCCTGCGGTTCGAGGAGAAGCGTGCGGTGAGCGACGGCGACGGCGGGGTGCGGCTCGAGACGCTGCGGACGCTCAACGGTGACAAGACGCGCAGCGTTGTCTTTGCCGTGATGCTGGGGCCGGATCCTGACTATGGCGGGTTTCCTAGTTGTGTGACGGTGCCGGCCAAGACCATGATTGCCGAGCTGAGCTTTTACCACCTGGAGGAGGAATAGTCTTTGGTTGCATTGAAAGGTGCAGCCGTGCTAGCTTTGGTGGAGGGTTCAAGGGTCAATGGATTCTTCAAGGAGCAACGTTGGAGACGCTTGGAATCCGTGGAATCCATAGCGTGGGGGCAAATTGCTGGAAAAGGAATGGGGCACGTCAATCAGGAGCCGCAGGATTGAAGTAGGAGCGATTCGGCTCCCGCAACGTTGCGCCTCCCTGGCGCCTGCCGTTCCCCAGAAGATCGGCAGTAGGCGCCAGTTGCCCCCGGGACGCGGGAAGGGAACCGCGTCACTGGGGCTCCATAGCTGATTCTAGCTTGACGACATGCTATACATGAATGGTTCCCACCCCACCCAGAGTATAAGAACTGTCCCGTCTGCCTGTAACCCAACTGCTCCCCGGTGAATTTTTAGAACACCAAGGCTTTGAACACGGCACTTGACAACTTCCTTACTGCACAAGACGTCTTCACACCCACTCCCACCACCCACTTCCCACCTCTCACGATGCAGCTCCTCAACACCATCCTCGCCCTCGCCGCCGCCGCCGCCCCGGCAGCGGCCTATATCGACGGGCTCACCTCGGCACCCGCCACGGCCTCGGCCGGCCAGACCATCACGGCGACGCTGCACTCGTCCATCTACATCCAGAACTTTGACGACTACGGCGTCGTGTGGGGGCTGGCGCCGGCGTCGATCAACCAGGGCAACTGCGGCACCTGCGTCGGCAGGCGCATCGGGTACACAAACGTCTTTGGGCCCCAGGCCGGGGTCACGGTGCCGCCCAACGGCGACTTTGACGTCTCGGTCACCATCCCCGAGGGCACGCAGGCGGGCCAGTACGCCCTGGTCGCGGGTGCTTCGTACCTGGTCGGGGTGAGTTTGCTTCTTTTTGTGTGCCGTGTTGCATCACATCGGGGTGAAATGTTTGCTAACGTGGTGTTTAGGCCTCGGGAGTCACCGGATTCCATCTGTATAACAAGACGATCACGATTGCCTGAATGGCACGAGACAGACGACGCTCGGGACGAAAAAAACTGATTTGGGACCGCGACTTACGATTTGATGGATCGAAGCCATAAGCTTTTCTGTGCTGTATTAATTCATAATTGGCGTTAAATCTGTCTTTGCGTTTGCGTCTCCCAAGCCGTGCTGTCGTTTGAAACTTTGCCAATAAGACCGATATCAGCCCCTTGGCGGAACCACCCCAAACGCCGCAGCATCCACGCCGTCCGCCCACCGCCAGATGCGCTCAAAGCTCGCGATCTGCCGCTCGAGCACGTCCAGGTCGACCAGGCCCCTCTCGTCGAACCCAACCGGGAACTCCTTGAGCAGCCACGACGGCGCCGTGATGAGCGACACCTCGGGGATCCCCGCCTGCAGCAGCGGCAGGCCCTCGCCGAACTGCGTGTGGCCCGGCGCCGTCGGGTTCATGACGCGCACCCCTGCCCCCTCCCCTGTCGCGCCGCTCCACTCCCTACGGACGATGGCGGCCAGCTCGGGCGTCGCCGCGTACAGCAGCTCGTCCTCGGGCTCGCCCGTGGGCTCGTACGCGTTGCGGCGTAGGTCCTCGCGGTAGCTGCGCGCGCCCAGGTGCTCGACGCAGGTGCCCAAGACGGCGCGCAAGCTACTGCCGGCCGTCGAGTTCCACAGCTCCGGGTGGTCGGCCAACCAACGGGTCGTGGAGCGCTTGCTGGCCGAGAAGGGCGCCGAGTGGATGTGCGCCGTGATGAAGGCCAGGACGGTCGTGCGGCGCGGCGGGGCGCGCGCCAGCGAGCGGGCATAGGAAAGCATGGCGATGTGGCCGTTCTCCTCGACCGCGTTGGTCCCGTCCGTGTGCGTGTTGATGACGACGGACTCGTTGCGGAGCTCGGTGCCGGGCACGACAACCCAGATGTTGCGCGTGGGCGTGCCGTGCTCCAACCACCCCGGCAGCGTCACCCTTGCCGTTCTGTTTGCAGCCGCGGCCGCACGCACGGCCTGCGCCGCCTCGCCCGAGGTGTAGACGGCCGGGATGCCGAAAAAGGGGTTGTGGAAGGGCGCGTACAGGCCCGCGGCGAGGCCGTCGCTGATGTTGGCCCAGACGTACACGATGGCCTGGACGCCGGCGTCGCGGGCCGCCGTGAGGTTCGTCACCAGCGCGTTCGCAGGCGTACTGGGGACGCCCGTGTACTGGTCCGGCCACGGCGGCGAGCCGGGCCAGAGCGGCAGCGCCGTGCTGGTGTTTGCAAAGGGCGGGTTCGCAATCTCCACCACGGCGATGCCGCCCGCCGCGTCTGCCCACCTGGGCGGGTGGCCGGTGCCGGCGAGGCTGATCAAGGGGCCCTCGACGCCGCCGTCGGGCGTGTGTCCCGAGTACGGTACGGTGGACGAGACCGTGATGGGTCGACAGCCGATGGTCAGCCGGCCCGGGTTGAGCGAGCCAAGGTTGTCGTACGAGAAGTGCCAGGTGTCGGTGTGGACGTGCAGCCCCAGTGACTCGAGCCGTCCTTGGATGTGCTGGATGAGCTGGTTATGGGCTTCCGAGCCTGTCCGTCGCGAGCCGAGCTTAGCCAGGTAGTCGCTTTCGCCCTTGAGCCCGAGCCATTGCTGTGGCGGTCGGGGGTGCACCGCCGTCACGATCCGGGCGGACGCGAAGCCCACACTCAGCATCACCGAAAACCCAAGATACCAAAGCGCTGAGGCCATTTTCTCCTGGTGTAGTTTGCGAGCACATGGCCACCCCCGGCAACGCGGCGGCGTCCATGCAGGGCATTATGACCCCGCCCGACAGCGGCCATCACGTCACCGGGGTTGCCGTGCTAACTGCCGGGGGATGTATCTCCCTGGGTTAATATGCAATACGCAGTGGAACCCGTGCAGGCTGAATACCCATACTGATATCTGTGTGTAGTGAGTCCTCCCTAAAAGGGGCTACAAGAATCGGCTTTAATTCCACGCTGGATGCTTGTAAAAATACACCACCAGTGCTGTTAACGCCGTCTGTTCTTGCATGCTTTCCCGCTGCCATACGCCGAGGCTGGTCTCTCGGGGCCCTGCGGCAGCCCCATGCTAGAGAAGTCACTAGTGAACCTAGTCCTACCTAGGCCACTACCACGTCTGGCAGCGTCCACGTCCCCTCTATATGCGCGAGCTAGGAGAGGCACACTGGCAGGGCGCGCGACCCAGAGTTTCGCGTCCGTCAGAGTATGCGCCTCGCCATCCTCCCCCCACGCGCTGGAATGTGACGTTGGTGGTGGTGGTGGCTCGTCGTCCTCCTTCTCGACGACGGTGGGCTCTAGCAGGCTGCCCCCCACGGTCCGCCGCGCCCTGTGGGGCTCGGACGCGCCGGTGCGCACGAGGTTGGACGGCCCGGACGAGAGATCGCTGCCGATGCGGCTCCCGCCGAGACTCCGGTGCAGCCAGCGCCAGGTCCTGGGGATGGTGACGAGGGCGAACATGCGCAGGCCGGGCATGCACGCGTATACGATGCCGACGGCGGACTCGGCGATGGCTCCATATGATGGCCGTCACGTTGATGCCTTCCGGGTTCACGAGGGCGCGGGTCTGGCTCCAGGGAGCTTGGGGTCAGCCCTCTGCCCCCTTTTCTTGTACCGCGCTTGTCCAAAAGTCACGACTTACAAACTTGATGACGCGTATTACGCTGGCGATGGTTGTGTTAGAGGGGAGCAAGTCAATACCATGGGGCCCGTAAGGAGATGGCGATGTAGCGGAACAAAGCAAGCTGCTTACATGATACCGAGAGAGAACATGGCCGCAACCCCAAGCTTTGCTGCCCAGGACTTGTTCAGCCGTGGTATTTGGGACAGGCAAAACAAGCACCCAAAAGTCCAACATCACGTTCGAGATGCTCTGCGACCTAAGCCGGGGCCCAGGTTAGCCGCCTTGTCTCGGAAATGACCGACACGAGCACGCGCCGACTCTCGCAGGCTACACTCCCTGAACTCACCAGAGCAGGACACTCAAGTTGACGGGACGACGGCCGCCGTTGGCCCTAACCCATTGGGGGCCGAGCGACAGACAGTCCAGGGTGAGGCCTAGCAGCATGTTGAGCCACTGGAACCAGCGCAGAAGCGACGCGAGGTCGCACATGCCGAGGAAGCGCAGCCCCAGCTCGGGGCTGCCAAAGATGCGCGCGTAAAAGGCAAGGAAGGACGCCTTGAGCAACGTGTGGGCAGAGAAGCAGATTGGCGTCATGACGTACATCCAGAAGACCGTGTCGACGCTGTCCTGCGGCGGCGGCCCGCCGAAGTCGAGGCCGAACCCGACGCGCCGGAGGGGCACGGCCACGATGAGGCCCATGGCCACGGTGCAGGCCCAGGCCAGGCAGAGGTACGCGTCGTCCCAGCCGGCGTCAGGCATCCGGGGGACGCGGAAGCGGCCGTGTCAGACCTAGATTTCACGTATCCTTCCTTGCATTGCGACGGCGAGAAACTTACGGCGCAGGAGGGCAGCTGACCCATGACTTTGGCGAAACTGCCCTGGACCGAAGCGGCGCAGGCCGCCGAGACAAAGAGCAGCAGCAAAGCTGCCATATTGTTGGGGTGCATACTAGGTGTGAGGACCCTCCTGGGGGGCGCACTCTCCTACCAAAGGAGTTGAAGCCAAAGGAGGGGAACTGACCCGAGGGTGCCGCAGCCGATAACGGCCAGCTGGACGGGCGGCCGGGGAGGGGGTGTTGAGATCATGGCTGTGATGGTTTGCTGGTGTAGGTAGGTAGGTAGGTGGGAAGGGCAGGTTGGTCGGTGCAAGTGCTAGGCCAGACTAACAGAAGACAGGCGGCGAACTTGCTTCCTTGGGAATGCGTCCATCCCTTGCGCTTACAGACACTTCTCCCGCCCGCGAACCCCAGACCTCACAACGGACCGATGACGTCGTCACCCCTCGAAACCGGCGCCCACAAGATAACCGCCGGGTACAGCTTGGGCGCGACGGGCCTCCCGCACCCGACGGTGTAGTAGAAGCCCGGGCTCGCGCGACCCGGCAGGTCGGCCGGCAGCACGTCGGGCGCCTCGCCCGGGAACGCGTCCCAAAAGGCCAGCAGGTCCCGCACACGGCGCCCTCGCTGCCCGGCCCGAGCGGCAGCCGCCCGCCGAGGGTGAGGCAGTCCATCAGGTAGGCCGTCGAGGTGTGCGGGGCGCGCACGTAGATCTTGATGCGCGCGCCCTCGTCGGGCGCCTTGCAGTCGATGCCCGCGATGCCCGTCTCGAGGTTCGTGAGGCCCGGCTCGGCCGCCTTGAGGCCCGGGTAGACATACACCTTGACGACCGGCCCCGTCGGCTCCAGGTCCCGCGCGACGAAGCAGCCGGCCAGCGGCGTCGTCTCCTCGATGAAGCCGTCGGCCGTCTTTGTGCGCACAACGTCTTCTTGCGGCAGCACCTGCCGCGCGGAGTGGTCGTACCAGCTCGTGTCTAGCCCCGGCACAAGGCCATGGGTCTGCAGCTTCTTGATCCACAGGTCCGTCGCGTGCCTGTTGAGCGGGTCGGCCGACGTGCCGGCGTGCGGCCCGATAGGCTCGAACGCGTACCGGACCGTGCCCCTCGCGGACTACTCCCAGCTAAAGCCCATGGGCGCGCAGTCGGGCGTGGCCGGGCTCTTCCACCGCGCCACCTCGCCCGTGGGCGGGTCGGGGGCCGGGCCGAGCTCCGGGGCAACGAAGAGGGCGAAGAAGGTCAGCTCGGCGATCTGCTTGTCCGGGGCGTAGTGGGCGGCCTCGAGGAGGCGCGCAAAGATGCGGCCGGCGCCCTGCCACCAGAACTGCGCGTCAGGGGACCCTAGGGCAATGGCGTTGTTGACGAGCTCCCATGGTGTCGTTGCGGTATCGCGCAAGACAGCATCTTTTGGTTGCAAAGGCGCGACAGCGTGTTGAGTCTCGGTAGCAGCCATTGTCAAGGAAGTCAAGGTCGTGTTCCCCGTAAAACTCTTGACAATCCCTTGGGTACCTCAACAGCGAGTCTCAGCCAGACCGGTGCTTAATACGGCGCAATAAATCGTGCCATCACGTCGCGTCTAGGACCCATCCACTTTTATCCAATCCGACTCAGCCGGCCCGCCATCCGTCATCGGCGAAGAGGAAGTATGGTCCCCCGTCAAGGGACGCCCGGTACGCTGTTCCTTGGTCCCCCATCTTCTCCATGTCGTGCCCGACTCGCGCACGGGACACTGGCGGGGAAAACGGGGCAGCCATGATAAGGAGAAAAGGTCCGAGATGCTCGTGTTGATCGGATAGCATATGCACTCTTGCGGTCCGCTCTGCCAGCGGCTATTACGTACATGGTATTAATGCCGGCTTGGTGCGGTTTTGGCAGCGGTGATGCTTGGCAACATATGCGCGACAATTTCCAGGGGATGCTTTGGTCAGCTACTGCATTCCTCTGCTGGCTGGCAAAGCAGGGACGTTTGCTGTTTAAACCGGATATCAAGTATAGTATTAGGACATCGCTCCAGCTTCAAGCCACTACCAACTCACCGTGGGCATGGCTACAATACTTGTAGGAGTGCTGCAACGTCGTGCCTCGTACCTTTTCTTTCCCTGTATTGTAACATGACATCCGTCTAGCCTAGGAGGGAGTTGGAGGCAGTTGAAAACGCGGTTGCTGTCAGTAAAACTACCTCTAACCCGGAAGATGATCGAGGAGCCGACAATCGACGTGCAGGACTTCATCATTAGCGAAGAAATACAAACAGCAATTACTGCTGTAATTTTTTGGCAGCCGTCCGTTGAGGGGTTTTCGATGCGCCGCCCAATCTTGGATCGATCCCCGTTGACCAACCGCGGATGTGGCCGGTAATATTTTGGAACATTCTTTCCAGCGCCGTCCTATCATTAGTTGTTGTTGTTGTTGTTGTTGGTGTGCATCGCCACGTCCTCTGGTGGCGCTGGAGGGCCTCCCGCATGGCGGGGGTTTGATGCTTTCGTTCAAGATGGTCAGCCCCGCGGCACCATGTTCTCCTGTGAAAAAGGATCAGTGATCTTTTCTCACTGCCACGGGATAAAACCCCAACGCGATAGCAGATCCCCTGCCGAAACGACAATGCCGCCAGCCCCTAACGAGCTGGCTCGAGTTGTTTGGGCCTCCCACATCCTCGCCTATCTCGACCGCTACACGCACGTTCCGACTGAAGTGCCGAGCTTAGCGGAGGGTTTGGATGATGATTTCGTTGGTGAAAACGAAGGAGGAGAGGCAAGAGACGACGAGACCATCGCTCCAGAGCGTCTTGCGGCCCACGACGTCGGCATCCGCAAGAAGTTTCTCAACTGCGTGGCCGAGCTCCTTTCCAATGTCAAGGGCGGCGACCGCGTGATGGCCACTGCGATGAGGGAGTCGGAGGACGCAATCGAGGTCGACATTGCCAGTAATGGGGGTTTCGGGCCCGAGGACGAGCAGTACCTCGACTCGCTGTCGCAGTTCCTAGCTCTTGAGGGAGATGAGGGTGGGTGCTTCATAGCAATCAGATTGATGCCCTCTGGCAACAGACTGACAGCTTCAACTCGCAGACACCGCCGAAAAGCGGCATGCGTTCCTAGACGCCACTATTGCCTACAACGCACCGCGCATTGACTTTTGGGCTGACGGGCTCGTCAAGATAACCCGCAGTATATACACGCCAGGAAGCGGGACGAATGTTGTAGACACGCCTTGTCTCTTGGGTTGCTGTCCGTTCAGTCCACTGCCCCCATTTTCCGATGTGCTGGGGACCTTTTCCAAAGCACGCCTCGATTGGCACATCCTTCGTATGGCAGAGGCCCAGGACTTGTCGAAAGAAAGGCGGCGGATCGTGGAGGCAGCCACGATTGCGATGCAGTCGCACGAAGATGCAACCCTCATCCTACAAAAGCACATCGGCGAGATGAGACCAGACGTAGTATTCAGGTGGCTACGACTCCTAGCCAGGCCGGTCACCGGTCTTAAGATACTCCGGCAAGTCGCTCAGCTGCTGCCAAACTTCCGCAATGTCACGTTTATCGCCCTTGTTCCGCCGCCACGGATTTCGCTCTCTAAAAGCCAGATCCCGCCGACGATAGCGAGCGCCTGGAAGCGGCTGGGACTTCCAAAGCAGCCCAATGGGCCACCAAGAACGCTTCACGGGAAGGACGCCAAGTTCAAGAAAGAATGCGGCCGGGAGCTTCCGACCCACTGCGAGATCCAGCTGGTGACGCGGTACGAACAGGAGCCTCACAAAGCCCCGACTCTGGCCTACTTTGGCTGCAGCAAAAAGGCTTGCTTTCTTTGTTCGTCCTTTTTGGAACTGTCCCCTTCTAAGCCCGGATTTCGGGGGCGACATGGAGAGTGCCATCCCTACTGGGGCGTCGGGGACTTCTACTCGGAATCTTCCAAGGCCCGACTGGATGGCTTGCTGGAGGTTGTCAAGGACAGAATCCGATCTGTTTTGGACCCTAGAGCCCAGCCAACCTCGGACAAAATACACCAGTCGTCCGCTGTTTCGCAGCTAAAGACCGCCGACATGCAGCAGCTTAAAGCCCATTCTGTTCACCGAGAGCATGGGGAAGCACAAGCTGACGAACTCCGTGAAAAAAGGCGCATTTTGTAAGTCCAACTACCATAAATACCCCTTGGCCCGAATCGTTAACTTGCTGACTTTTGCTGATTGTGCTGGACAGGTTAAACCCAAGATCAACCGGCCCAGAGATTATTTTGTGCAGGGACCTGCGGACGCTGTGTACCATGTGCCAAAGCACTGGTGCCCGTCGCTGTACCAGCTGCTGGGCGAGCTGGTACTGCACCACACGTTGCCAGATTGTGGACTGGCCCGCCCACAAATTGCTCTGCCGCAAGATTCAGATGTTTCTGGGCACGCGGCCATCATCGCTGCACAGGGCGTGTGTGTGGTTCCCGCTAGGAAAAAGGAGACCTCGACTTGCCTGGGCATCCTTTGACAAGCCAGTTCCGGTCAGTGAACGGGAGGAGGAAGTCCCCCCATGCTTCGACTCGTTTCTTGGGAATAGTCACGGGGTCCTCAAGACGATATTCATCGACGTCAATAAGCGGCGGAGTATTGATCTGAGTAGGCATGCCTTGACGCTTTACTGCGAAGACCACAGCGATGTGGCAAACGAGGCTGTCCACCAGGCGGTAGAGAGGTGCCCGGGAATGACAGTGCCAACAAGGGTGTACGGGGAGGTGGTGGCTCTCTACGGGCGGCCAGGGCGGCACAGCGGGATACCGTTCGGCGACATGAACCTCGCCTGTTTCCGACACGTCCTCGACTACTTCAGCACCTATTTCGACAGCGAGGTGCACCCGGTGAGGGGGGACGCGTATTCCGTCCGCGCGCTCAAGATCAGCTGCGAGCTGGAGCATGCCTTGTCGGGGGACGAGCTCTTCACCGAGGTGTCGGTCGACCGCGACCTGCCCTTCGCCAGCCAGGTCTCGCAGCTTTCTAAATTGCTCGGCTACGAAATGCGTGTGTGCGAGACCGACTCATCACGGCTCGAACAGCATCTCGCGCTGGTGGGCGAGGACGACACAGGGCGCGACATGGAGAACCCATACGCCGAGGCGCTGATGGTTAACATGGACCATTCTGGCGACAGGTGGGGGAAGGTAAGCTCGCATTATGAAAAATGGAGGGGTAATCTAGTGCTGGTAAGCAGCGATGGGGCGGACATCGATCTCGAGGCGGCCGAGTACATATGCAGATACTGCCACGACGTCCTGGGGTCTGTCTTTAGGCAGTTCGCCAGCGGTAAAATATCGCAACACAGCGTGCTGGCGGAGGCAATTCCGGAGAAGCTGGCGGCCTGGCGAGAGGCTTTGCCGGAAAAGCTAGCGGCCCGGCGTGAAGCTCCGCTAGAGAAGCTGGCAGAGCTACGTGTGCGTGAATTTCCCCCAGAGGAGGAGCTGGCGGCCGGGCGCGAAGCTCGGATGGAGAAGCTGGTGGCCGAGCGTGAAGCTCTGGCGGAGAAGCTGGCGCCCGAGCGTGAAACTCGGCCGCCCGGGGAAGCTGGTACACGCTTGCAAGGGCCGGATGAAATGGGGTCGCCGAGCGGGTCTTTTGGAAGTATCCTATCTCGGGCGTGTGGGCTGCTGTGGGAGCTATTATCCGCTTGTCTGGATGTTTATCTAGGGGAACCTTTGTTGGCTGGTCTATCGGATCTACTGTGGTCTCTTCGGTGGGCTCATCTGCGGGCTCTTCTGTGGGCTATTCTGTGGGCTCCTCTGTTACCTGTTCTGTTGCCTGTTCTGTTACTTCTGCTATGTGTACTTCTATTGGCTTTTTGGTGCGCCGTGAGGTGGCTTCTTGAACTTCTGCGGGTTCTTCCTCAAAATCGGGCTAGGTAGTGTTACAAACGGGGCATATCCACAAGCATGCATTGACGTTTCTCTTTGTGGGAGACATTAGGGAATGAACGTGAAATTAAGCACTGGAAGGGCTATGGCATCTCCAAGCTACTGTTTGCTGCACAGGGTACTGGGCGTCGTGCAGGTGTTGTGTTTGATCTCGTTGGTGCCTGTAAAAGCCGTGTCGATATCGATGTCGTTCCCAGACAGCTTATTGAAGTCGACGACGTTGCCAGTCGCCTTGGCCCCCTTGGCGTCAAAGTCGTAGACGGCGATGCCGGCGCCGAAGCTCTGGCTGGGCCCGTGGCCGTCGGGGAAGTTGAAGTCGGTCTGGCCCGTGATGGTGTTGTGCTGGGCGTTTGTGCTGACGGCGCCGGCGATGCGGATGCCCGACACGAAACCAAAGGTGCAGAAGGGGTTCGTGGGCCCGATCTGGTTGTGCGTCAGGCTGGCGCCCCTGATGCCCGGGTCGACAAAGGCGCCGACGCAGCAGTTGCGCACCGTGTTTCCCCTGACGTCGGCGCCGTCCGTCTGCACACACAGCCCGATGACCATCTCGGAGATGGTGTTGGCCGACACGCGCACGTCGGACCGGTCGTCCATGCAGATGCCGATGAAGGACAGGGCCGACGAGTTGACCGTGTTGCGCGTCACCACGGTGCCGACGGACCCGACGGTGAGCGAGCCGTACGCGCCGCCGTCAGTGAGGGTGTTCTCGCGCACCTCGGCGTTCTTGGCGTTGACGACGGCGACGTTGAGCCCGCTGAAGCCGCGGATCGTGAAGCCCTTGACCTGGACGTCCTCGACGGGGGCGCCGTACGACGCGATCTTGCGGTGCTCGGACCCGGGCCAGTCGCCGAGGACGACGCCGGCGCCGAGGATGCAGATGCCGGCCTGGGTGTCGCCGCTGGTGGCCGGCGGGGGCAGAGGGCCCGCCAGGCCGGAGCAGCCGTTGGTCACGGCTGTGGGAGGTGGCACGATGGTGGCGCCATTCTGGCCGACGAGCTTGATGCCGTTCTTGGTGATGAGGATCTGCTCAGCGTAGGTGCCCTTGGCCACGGTGATGGTGTCGCCGGGGCTGGCCGAGTCGATGGCGGACTGGATGGTCTAGGGCGTCTTGACCTTGATGTCCTTTGCGGCGCCAAGGCCGAGGAGGAGGCCGCACAAGGCAGTAGAGAGACTCAAACGGCTAGACTGGGGCATTTTTCGCAATGACTGTTCAGTATGGATGGGAGATGGCAGGAGGATGTCCTGGTGTCTGTGTTGGACGGGAACGATACGCCCTGGTTAAGGGCTGTGGCCAGTTCTTATACATTTTGTCGAGGTGGCAAGCAGGATTTCAGGACCAACTGACTTGCTGCTGAAACATCGAAGGGAGGCTGAACGGAAAGTTCATCGCGATCCAGAACACGCTGCGTCCAGCACCACTAACGCCAGCTTGTTTCCACGTCATTTTGGCCGGGACCGGGGCGCGGGATGGCATGCATTCCCCCACAGATATCGCCAATCTAAGGCACGACGAGATATGGACCAGGGGGTCGGAGGAGTCAACTCAGCCCCACAGTAGAGTGTCGACTGGCCCAGGCATGGAATGTGAACTAGGGTATCGGAGAAGGCATTCCCAGCCGTGCAGCTAGCCCTTGGGGTTGGAGAGGGCTCGGCTGTTTGGCGGATTAGCGCTGGGGAAAATCGATCGCGCCGCGGTAGTTGCTGTTTGGAGGCACACGTCGGTGAGGCTGTTCGCCAATCTGGTGTCCTGATGCAGCCACGCCAGCCTTGGGACTGGGGGCTGGCGTGGCGAGGAGGAGATGCAAGGCGCTGGAGTAGGATTTGGGCGCTGTCCCGATGGACTGGTCGGTGACCCACAGCGGTTTGGACTTGGCCCCACACATTTTTGACAAACAGATGAGCTCAGCATGGCATTAGTGGTATCTAAAAATGCAAACAACAAGACCTTCCTCTACCAGAGTCCTCCTCTACCACTCGACCCGATCGTCGCTCACAAGCCTGACGTCAAAGCGCCCATCGCCGCGCCAGACCTTGGCGCCGTCGTTGGCCCGCGCCACGGCCGCCCTGAGCTCGCCCACCATGCTCAGAGGACCGCTGGCAAACACGGCCGTCGGCCCCCTCGCCGTGCCCGCCACGAACCGCTCCACTGCCGCCGCCACGTCGGGCCTGCGCGCCGCCGGAACCTCGACAGTTGCCGGTCGGTGCACCGCCAGCTCGCCGACCTCGTTCACCTCCTCGCCCGACGAGACCGACGCCGACGACGGGGACGACCCCGCGAGCGCGTCCTCCTTGGACCCGGAGGCGACGGCGACCTTGGTGCGCGCCTTGGGGTCGCGCGTCAGGAACACGTCGACGTGCACGCCGTGCGACTGGGCCGCCGCCAGCAGCTCGTCCAGCTCGGGCCGCACCCACTCCATGTCGCGCTCGTGCCGTATCGCCCACAGCAGCTCGACCTTGCGACCGGACGCCGCCGGTCGGCTGCGCGCCAGCTCAAGAAGTACAGGGAGGACAAAAGTGATGCCCGTGCCGCCGGCCACGCAGAGGATGTTAGTCTCGGGAGTGAGGCTGTCGCCAGTGATGGCCTGTCCGTACGGGCCCGTCAGGACAACGGAAACCTTGGGGTCCAGAGGCTTGCCCTTCTCATCCTTGGCGTCGCCAGCGAGCTTCTTGACGCACAGCTCGGCCAGCTTGCGCGTCTCGCCAGCCTTGGCGCGGACCACATAGGAGTGGAGGGATCCGACGGCAGGGTTCGTCCTGCCACCGTCGGGCGTGGGGCCGGACGTCGCGGGCACCGACAGGGGCGTCATGGGGTGGGACTGCCAGATGCTGAGCTCGGGGAAGCAGAGGAAGAAGTGCTTGCCGACAGCCCAGGGCCGCTGGGGGTGCACAAAGTCGAGGCGGATCACGTCGCCGCCCTCGGCGTCCTCGAAGCGCTGCACCGTGGCCGAGGCCGAGGCGAAGCCGACGGACCCGTCGGGGAGGTAGTTGTAGTGCAGGAGGGCAGACCGAACCAGGCGCGCCCCGCGGTCGACGAACCAGCTGACGAGGCCCGGCACCAAGAAGCACTGCAGGGCCGCCCAGTGGGCGTAGCACGCGCCGATGTACACCATGGCCAGCACGTAGTGGGCCTTGCGGAAGAACTCGTACCCGAAGGCGCGGATGGCCCACTTGGTCGACAGCAGGAACAGGATGGTGAGCAGCACCATGGCCACGAAGCCCCAGATGATGTAGGGCTGCACGACGAAGTTGTCCCAAACCTTGGGCTGCGGCTGGTACAGACGGGCCTCGATGACGACCCAGCCGATGGTGTGCAGGACCGACTGCAGGAGGATGACGTAGCCGAGCCAGCGGTGCAGGAACACGAAGGACTGGTACGGGACGCCGGTCAGGACCGACAGCAGCGACTCGCGGCTGGCTAGTAGGACGGATAGGGGCGTGAGCGCGTACGCGACCACGCCGATGCGGTCGGACCACGGCCCCAGCGACGAACGCGTCTGGTACAAGCCGGGAACGGATGCGACGGGCGTGAGCCACATGCGGTACTCGAGGCCGATAAAGGTGATGACGGTCAGATAGGCGATGATGACGGCGAGGGTGGTGATCTGCAGGCGCGTCGTGTGGCCGAATATGAAGCGAGCCGACTCGGGCAGCAGGCTGCGGCGGGAGGCGGACGCGACGGCGTTGCGGGCCCTCACGATGGCCGACTCGCGGCGGGAGCCTGCCGTCTGTGTTTCGCCGTCGGCCCTAGTGCTGTCGTTAGCGGCTACCGAGGGGAAGGTGCGGCGGGCAACGGCCCAGGCAGCCAGGACGCCGAGGATGGTGAGCCACATGATGCCCATGTACAGCATGCCGAGGTCGTGGCCGCCGTACACGAGGTCGAGGTACTCGCAGCTGCCCTTGTCATTGACGCATGGCACTACCCGGTCGGCGTAGCCCCAGTGAGGCTCCACGCTGGATGCATTTGAGAAGTCTTGGATGTGCCTGGCGGCTAGTGGCGTTGCCATGGCTATGTTGTGCGTTGTGTTGAGCGAGTGCCCACCGCGGCAGCGGACCGTCGGTCGTGGACTTGCGGCTCTGCGGCTGTCGTTGAGGAACGGCACGCGGCAGCTGTCGTCCAAGAGTGAGTGGACGGGCGTGTCTCGAGGCCGAGCAGCCACAAAGCGACTCGCCTTTCCTTATATATGGGAGCCCCTGTCTGGCGGGAGTGTTGGACCCGTCGGGAGGGTAGTAATGCTGCAAGTGCCGGCTATCACTTCCGGCTGCTCCTATACGCGGAGGGTATGTAAGTCCTTCCCCCACGCCTTTTTCCGTCCGAGACAAGGGCTTGGTGGTTGGTAGCTGCCTCCGCTGACCTGCTTCTGGAGCAGCCCGGTTCCCTTTTGAGGACGCTGACGGGCCTAGGCGGAGGCTAGGGCTGGTCTCTATATTGCCCAGAGTCCAAGCCTGTGGGTCGGCAAACTTGCTCAAAGCTGAGCGCGCATGTAATGGTAATTGCTACGAGCTCGATTCGGCAGTGCCTTCGCGCCCCCTTTCCCGCCCCGGAGGGCGGAAAGCAAACACACATGGGGATAATGCACCCGCCCGCGCGTCAAGTTTCCGTTCTAAAGCCGGCCAACAAGGTGCATCTGGCCGCCCCAAGAGGACAGAAACGAAACATCCGACTTGGACGACTTGGCTTCTCGACCGTTGCGACCCACGTTGAGCACGTTTGAGCACGTTTTCCTCTCAACTCCACATCCAGTGCAGTGTTTCTCGTCCCCGCATGCGGGTCCCGGATGCCGGGATGCATGGCGTCTTGGCTTTGGGTGGGGGGCGAGGCCATCATGGGCTTCTGTGAAAGCTGAGACTTGGACTTTTCTACGGACAGTTGAGGGCCATGTGAGGGCTAATATCGAGAATCCTCTGTGCCTGGTGAAGAAGATGGCATTGCTCGGCTCGTGGCATTGTCTCGGTGGACGGGAGGATGAATTGTCTGGCCCTACGGCACCGATGTGACCTCATTTATCTTGCTCCGCGGCCTTGCCAGGGGTCTTGACTCTTCAAGCATACTGACGGACCCTCAACCTGGTCGGTGTGCGCTCCCTACCGCCGCCCGACGATAGCTTGCGGAGGGCTTCCTTGGACCCTTGGCGTGCATTCGCGGTTGGGCCGAATATTTGCTCATTAACTGGGTCATCTCCGCCCGCCGTCGAGGCCGTCTCGTCGCCTGCGCAGGATTGCGCAAATACCTCTGACGACAGGCGACGCGCTGGGGAAGTTGAGCATTCGCTCTTAACACTCGATTGGCGCCCGTAACCCGTCTTTCTACCTGAAGCTGTCGCCCAGTCGTCCGCCAGCACCCAACGCCTTCAATTGCAGCGGTGACGATCCAAGGACGAGCCGAGTAAAGGTCGCAACTACCTAGTCCCCTATACAGATCGGTCGTATCAGAACATCGCCAACATGAGCCACCACAGCTCGGGAGGGGGCGGTAATGCCACTGAGTGCAAAATGACGGTATGTTCACTGGTCTAGCGCGCAGTATCGAATCGCCCGTCGAGGTGCTGACAAGACCGCCCCGGGCCACAGATGTTGTTCAACACGCACACGATCGATGCCTGTACGCGCACACCCTAACCGAACCGCATCCCCCCCGCAACCGCAACCGCACCACAAAAACTAACCAAACCTCCCTTCCCAGGCTTCCTCACGGCCGACTGGCACATCAAGAACGAGGGCATGTTCGCGGCAACCTGCATCGGCGTGCTCCTCCTAGTCGTTGTTCTCGAGGCGGCGCGGCGGTTGGGCAAGGAGTACGACGACTTCCTGGCGCGCAGCTGGCAGCGGC